TTTCTTAGTGCTCCTACGCTTTCCGCTCAGAGTGCTATAGTGTTTGGATGTAATACGTGACATCTGCAATGATTTAGGGGAGCCAGCTCATCTACAAGCCAATAGCTTCTTGCCCCTGCTCTCAGGACTTAAATAACAGCAGTTAATCTGGACGAATATCGATTCGATTGGATTCTCGCAACGACTTCAGGATGCTACACTTGGCATACACCCACCTTTTCAGTCTCAGAAAAAAAATTCACTAATCAAACACAACTCTTCCTGCCTGCTTGATAGCCATTGCCTACGTATATGTAATTCAGAAGTTTGTGAAAACGAAATTCGCATCATATGCACCTGCACCAGGGCGTTCCCCCGCCTTTATTTCGTTGCCCTCCCTCGGTCCGGCTCTAAGCGAAATCCTCAGCCAACAAGATTGAAGTAACTTGTATAGGTACACCCCTCGCCCGGACTCTCCATCCCTCACCTCAGCAACTTTTTGCATCCAATCTACACAAGAAGGGATCGTAAGCTGTGGGCCACTCGTCCACTGCCGTGCACTTCAGAAATGTAACATTTTTGTCAAAACATCAAGCAATGCGAACAGGACGCCGGTTGCGCGGTGATATCGACGGTATGCAATCGACTGTCAGATTGTGGCCCACCTATACTGAACATGGACAAGATTGGAACCTGAGATCGAGCCAAAAGCGTCCAAACACCGTCTTCTAGTTCCGCTCAACTATGCCCAAACCGGGTCCATTTTACCAATATCACAATAGCAACTGAAGCATCAGCCTCCTGCGGAGGAATTCTCATGGGTAGTCAGATGGAAAACAATGAAATGATACTATACCCTCCAGTCACACATTTCATTCAAACGTCCCAAATACTGTGTTGCTGTTGGTGCCTCGGTGCAAAGACTTCACCCTCAATAACATTGATGTAATGAAAACATCAAAACAGCCTGAACGATAAAGAATTCCATTGCGGCTGCTTTTTGCTGAACTCCCCGCCCGGAATATGCACTCGTGAACTATTCCAAACCACTGGTAATTGGCATTATTAGTTCAACTTCAACCCTCCAAAAACGAAAAGCAACAAATATATGACAAAAACCGATCAATTAATATAATAGGGAGGAACTGGAAAAGCACAACAAAGTTGTTCGTAAGTTAATACCGACTTTCTGGTGGCATGAGGTACTACTAGACGGTAACCTAACGAAATCAGCTGGACAACATCTGCTCGTATTGAAAGAATAATAACATACAGAGTGCAATCAACGCGCCAAGCGGCTAAAAATGTCCCGAAAGTAAACACTACCAGTTAATAGCCATAAACAGAAAATCCCTATGGAGTCATGAAAGGAAAGACACAGGTCAAAAGTGAAGGTGAGACGAGACTGTCTCGTTGATAAGAAGCGCCATGTGAGCTGCTTATGATTGAATGGCAAAGCAGTTCCCATCTGGCTAAAACACTCATCGAGCTGGTAGGTTAAAGACAGCCTAATTTTAAAAGAAACTGTATTGAATAGTCACCGTACACAATCAACCAAACTGTTAACTGATTTAGAATGTGGTGCCGAAAAATTAAAAAATGGAAATTGCTCAACCCAGTTGCCGTTTACTAGGAGTTTTTCTATATTCCCAGGGAACTTGCATTGGGAGATGTCGTGATGCAGGACTAGCATTATTGATCGTGAGGACAAAAGACAAACGCGTAAACAAACGTGAAGCAAATGGATAGCTTCGGGAGAGGAACCGCTCAACTTCGCGTCACCCTAAATGGCGAATGGAACTGAGGCGTTTAAAGTTACCAGTATTGTCAACAGAATAAAATTACGTTCGCATAAACTAAGGAATGATCACTGGCTCAAAAATGTCCCCATAAAAGTCCACGGGAGGATGGTGTCTACTTCCATTACTGGAAACGATATCGCAAAGAAAGCAGTGCTGAGGCAACGATGAATGCTGAGGGGAGAATTGAGAAGTGAGGGCCGAAGTCCAGATTGCTCGTACTGGACCGAAAGTTCCCTGATGGGCGGAGCGTGGAAAGCACCCACTCACGTGAAAAGCATGTCGCTCAGTGCCCAGGGATCTCACTAAAAGTGAGTGGGTGTCTCTCAACTTTGAAACAAAGGGAACAGATGGCAGACGATTAGTCTATTATTATTTGATTGACTATTAGTAATTGACTACTGATATAGTAGTAAAAGTTGCAGGCAAAACAGATTTCAGGCTCACAGCAAGCGGGGTAATATGAGAACATTTGCAACCCACACCATTCAGTGCAAATAACGTAGTAATACTCAGGAATATTCTAGGAACGGAAACGTATTTCTAATGCGCCTATAGCTAGCGAGTTTACAGTAAGCTCTCAAGCAAAACACCCATCGACTGCATCTGATGTTTTTAACGCCTTCTGTAGGGTTAGCCTCTCCCACCTGAGCAGTATTTCTATAACTGCCACGAGATTCAGGTAAGACAATCAGCTACAGCCACATAACATCGGATAGTGGTGACACCCCAGAAATAATTAATTCAGTATAATTCAAGTCTTGCCTGAGTTGCAACCAATCTGACCACTCAAGTTGGCCAGAATTCTAGAAGAGGAGAGAAAAGAAGTGCACTCGGTTTGGAATTCGGACTCCTCCTTTTGAATGCTTACCTTCAACTCATTCCTATCGAGGAAGTTCACCCTGAAATTCTGAATAAAAAAAAAGGAATAAAGCGAAAAATAGGTTGGCACCTACCAATCAGCAGTACGGCTGCTGCAAGGGCTTCCAAGGCTGGTTTCCATTTCTCATAACCTGTTAGATTTTCTAAGCATAGACTGTCGCAGACGTTTTAAAGCGTCACAAAACAACTGCGATGGCGAGCAGTAAAACTTTAATAGTAATGAAATGACATTGGAACGAAAGAACTCAGAAAATGATGATGTCATTGCAGCCAGGCTCAAATGTTCTAAGAATTTACAGTAAATATTCTACAACGTTTAAATCTGAAGAACAGGCAAAAAGGGTAAAATACATGGGATTCAACAGGACAAGCACTTAGGCACTGCACCTATATCATCATTCCCATACCCATCATGGGATGTGGTGCAAGTGGTCGTGCTCCGGGGACGGCTTCAGCAAATCGATGCCGTAGAGCAAATCGAGCCAGTTCGTCCGCTAATCGATCGGGACTGTCTTCATGAACCGCGTGTCCAACTTTAGGAAGAATCGTATTTTGGAATTTGCCTTGCATTTGAGCTATCTGAAAAAATAGCATATTTTAAGAAGAAACTCGAAATCGAACGAATTCTGACCGTCAGATCCTTGTCTAGCCGATCGACACCGGCAAGCACCAGTAGCTTTGGAGGGCTGCATGATAGGAACTTTGCAGATAAACCTTGGAACCAACCAACCCAAAACTGTTCCGTATCCGTCAGATCTATACGCCACGTATACTGAAAATGTTCTACATTTTTTGTTTTGATTGGGTTCGGCTATCATAAAGTCTGTGACCTTTCCATCTTCCGTCTTTTTGATCTGTGATGGCATCGAAATCCTGGCAGCTTCCCGATTCCTAGTCGCACCTGATTGCAGGCACCAGGCGACAGCTTTCTCTTCAGACTCGAAAACGTTTGGACGCCCACGAAGAAAGGTTAACTGAAAATCGAAGACATTCCGTTTGTTCATCTGGTTGGTAAACAGTAAACTTGGTTCAATGGGACAAGTGCCGAGCATTTGCACCAGTGTCAATAAACTCATTATACATTAGACCCAGTCACACGCCACGAGTTTTTGAGTACATCGCCACACAAGAATCTCACACCCACCTTCATTAACAATCAACTACTCGCACAGCTACCAAATTATGTGAAATAAAGAGATGACAAGGAGTCATGGGAACTCATTTAAAAGAAACTCAGAAAAACAGTAGAAAGTGCTGATGATTAAATAAGCGGACAAAAGGAGCCAGCACTAGAATCATGACCACCATTTACCTTGAAAACATATCAGCAAAGATTCTGATTCACTGCGGTTGTGATTAGAAGAACAGAACCGAAGTGTATTGATTTACAGCTAAAGAAAATGAGTTTAATGATACTCACCATTCCACCCAGAGCATCCATCGCCGAACCTTCCACCACGTCTATAACCACCAAGGCGACCACGTTCGGAATTTCATTTGTGGCCACGACATGTACGGCTAACGCTCCACCCATACTGTAATTTGAAGATAAGCTTCGAAATCGGTAAAATTCAGATTCACAACTGACACAGAGCAACCATCTGTACACGTCAGTGCCTCACTGAGCGACAGCTATCTAGAGGGATCATACACGCAGCTGCCGCCAGCAACAAAAGCATAATTGACGACCACATGTCACATTAAAAGAGCTTGGTAAAAAGAAAAAATGATGCTAAAGGAACGTACCTATGACCAACAACACAAACGAGCGGTGGATCTTCATCGTTTTCAGCGGGGAAAACTGCGTTATAGATTCCAATAATGTCTCTGAAATTAAGGGAAAAACTAAACAACAAGTATTGATTCCTAGGAACTGAGTGACAAGCGCATAACTAAGAACATCTTCAACGATCGAGTGATAAACCCTAACAGAAAAGCAAATAATAAATCCAGAACTTTTGTGTTCGATAAAGAATAACTTCTGTCTAGCAAATGTCGAAACGCAAATTCAGTCTCACTTCGTCTGCCGCTCAACTGATAGATCTTTATCGTCTTGAGTTTGCGTGTGACCGTGCCCGCGAAGATCAGGCACCAGAAGTCTGCACTGGATACGACTGCTGAGTTCCCTCTAAAACGTTAAACACTGTCTTTCACAAACGGCATAAGAACTAGGACAGATCTATAGCATCTCAAAAAGCGAAAAGGAGCAAAAAAGTTATGGTGGGGCCTCAGAATGCTCCAATAAAACCTAGTCTTCTGAAGGCCTACTATAAGAACTTCTTTATCAAGTTTAGAGTCACCCTATAAAGCGAGCATAAGAACGTCGGTAAGATTTTCAACGTCTCGAGTTCATTACTGAAAAGAAAAAACAACAAAAACTGAAGCTCGAACACATGAAAAGCACTTCCAATCGATACTGGTGAGGTCATAACTCGAATAGAATAGGTCGCAGGTTTGGAAATACTGAGAAAACTTCAAAACTTACCGCGAGGCAAGCCCATGTTAGCCCAGAGTATCCACCGCCATGAAGTAGGTAAAATACAGGCCCACTCGTGCCCTAAAAATCTCGTAACAATGAAAAAGTAACGTGAACTTTCTTAGAATGTGTACTTTTGGTAGTGTTCCATGCGTTTAAAGATATTCCCGACCATTTTTATCCAAATCTACTTTCAGCAACGTATTATATAAAGGCGTTTTCGAATTTTGTCATTATGTGGAGCCGAAACTACGGTAAATCTCTTCACAGACGACAAAAGTCATGGATGTTTGGGGAAAAAAGCGAAATAAATACCATACAAATAAAAATAAAATATCAAACTTGCCTTGAGGTAGACATTGAAACTGTTACCATCTACATCGACGGTACGGTTCTCGTCGAAAAATTTATCCCACGTCAGCGGTGTGGAATCACGTGTTCGCTTACCACCGCTGCGCAAGTTCGTGCTGAAAGTTCTTTGGCTTGGACCTGATTCAAGTGTTTGCCGAGTGCTTCATCACACTACAGAAAAAAATAACAAAAACGGCCGAAAAAGTCGCAATAGCGTTTCTTTACAACCTATGAATATTCATTCAAAAAAAGTGATAGGCCATTTCTTTACTTTCCGCTGAAAGATGGCTATGTTGCTTTTACGATCACTCACGTAGGCAGGGTTAATCACTGACGAAAAAAGTATTTATTTGTTTATTTATTTATTATACAACCAGGGGTGCGCCATCGGCACCGGGAGAACTACTGTAATATGAAAATTCCAACAGAACCAAGGAACAGAACAAAAAAAAAAAACAGAAAAGAACAGAAGAAAGAGCACTGGAAAAGGAAAGAAATAGGCCACTAACAGAGACCCTGTTCGATTAGTGATGTGCACCAATCAAGCAACTAAATAGTAAAGGTACGAGACAAAAGACATTTAAAGCAATCCTTTCCGAATTACTCCCTTTTCAAAAGAAACAACGCTCCTCAGATAAATCCCTTTTGATAGTCGCATTGGCGTTGGAACCACAAACCCTATTGAACTTTTGTATTTGAATGCCAGAAGCGCAAGCACGACGAAGCCCTATCGATACACCTCAACGATGTTTCTGCAAGCTGTCGCCGACTGACGCTGAAAACTCTATTCTCAGCAGTGCTACACATTCACATTACTACACTCGACTTCATACCAATGCCCTTCAGGAGCGTACCATCATCATCAACTTTTGGGAAAAAAAAGTAAAAAATTTTGAACTTTGCACAATCTCGAGCGCAATGAAAACAGCAGAAAAAGACTATGAAAGCATCTTAGAAACTGAGCTGATTGCGGGAGGGTGCGTGAATGTGTGCGAACTACAGGTAGCAGTCGTTGAGAATGGAAATCTATGAGTTGATAATTAGCGTCAAATATCGACCAAAGAGGTTCAGCAGCGTTGAACACCTCTCCAGGGCTTGATATCGCTAGCAACTGAGCATAGATAATTCGCTGACTCCAAACAATGACGAGATACTTTACTTTGTACATCGTGACCTTTGCTTGACCTTACTCCGCAGTTTGGTAATACGGACATTTCAGTTTAAAGGCGGGCCAATCCGGAAATTAAGCCATGAAAAAAGAGTAGCATAACAAAAAACCTCAAGAAGTGTTGCATATGTGATGGCCACGATGGAAGTCAAAAAAGTGTTCAAAGAACCTCCTCCCGTGATGGATTATTTCCGGCTTATGTAGAGTTATGTTCATTGGAAGAAAGCTTGCAAGACATGTATTTTGACCGCATAAAAAACTAATTATCGCAGCATCAGTCATCAACCTCGAAACATCGACCGACAACCGCCCATCAACTCCCACCCTCGCTGCTAGCCGTTCATCAGCTTCTATTGAAAGGGCCATAGTACGAACGTAGCCATTCCTTTAGAATGGAGGAAAGAACGCATGCTTTGTATGAGGGCGTATCCGCATGAGTTACCCTCGCTTGAGAGTTATATTTCCTGATGTCAAATCGAAACTCACGTTCCAGGTGGTGGTAAATGCTTAGTGAGCACTTCCCGAAGCGTTGAACTCATTCCTGAACGAATTGAAAGGCACACAGCTCCAATGGATTCGTTGAAATATCAGAAATAATCTGAAATTGAACGTACTATGTTCGAACAGAACTGTCTCTAGGGGTGGAAATGTAGTCGGGGTAAAGAAGCCACCACTCTTTTCTAACACAGAGCGCCAAAGCGCAGAGAAAGAGAGTTAGCTGACTTTATTGTACTTAGAGGTGGTTCTTCGCTCTAGGGATATAGTTTTNAAAAAAACGAGGTTGGATAGGAATAAAACATCCAACTGACTCTTTCACTCCGGCGCTTTCCTCCCTTCCCAATCTTAGGTGAAGAAAATTGTACTTCTCGGCTAACAAACTTCGTAAGCCTCATATTGAGCTCCTCACAAGATCGCTAGGCTACCACTTTTTCTTCGCGCTCATAGTTGGAAAAGGGCAGTACCCTCCCTCACCGACTGCATTTTCACCCTCTTTAAGTTTCCTTTGAACAGAAGGTATGGGCTGAGAAATAAAAGTAAAGCTTCAGCCATAGTTATGCTAAAGGAATACTCAGTCTTAGTTCTATAACCACAATAAGTAGTTATGGTACCTTTCAGAGGCAACCGACGATTTGAATCATCAAGAATTGGCGCCAATAGTATCGGTGGGCGGAAAATTCAAATACAGCCTGCCTGGATTGCCTGTTTATCTTGTTTTGGTTTTACCGCAACTTTGGACTTTTTGCATTTATATTTTCATCTCATTTGTTTATCATATGAAATAGCCTTCCCGTAACACACACGGTTTGACATTTAAGGGAATAACACTTCAAGACAAACTTTTATTTAACTGGCGGCTAGTAAAACATCATATAAGACATGAAACGTTGGCAACTTAGCAAACAGCACTCTACTGGTAAGAGAAATCTTTCAGAATAAAATGGAAATCTAAAAGAAGCTGGTCTCAGACCCAAGTTTTTCAAAGACAGGCAATGCACCGTAATTTGTATACAATTAAAAAAATATCACACAAATAAAAACCGGTAAAAAAACAAACAAAATTTAAAAATAAACGTTGGCTGTGAGCATTCCGGAACGGCTTCCTTGATATTTGATATCTGAAATCGCTTCGATAATTTAGTTTAATAGCTTTTCAATGTAGTTCTATGAATATTACAACCAAAATACTATTTATAGCAGTTCGCAGATAAATTTCTTGATGAATCAAACCTTTTTTTCCCTTCATTTCTTACAATATTTCCCATAAATTCCTTGGAAGTCTGACTTTTTGTCCAACATTCTAAGCAAAAGTCCAGCTCGACCCACTCCCCCATCCCCCGACATGCCCCTTTACATTCTCTCTACGAACCTGATTGTTATCCTCTACTCGTCTTTTTAACAATGTTTCGGAACAGTTTCCCTATAATTCAAGCCAGAAATGACTCGCACTTATCTCCAAAACTGAATCTTTCAGTGCTGAACAACATGACAGCAGTTGACTACACCATTGAGCCGATCGAAGGTCGTGCTGCTATTCAGAGGAACTTCGTGAAGCTTCCCGAACGTGCTTCAAATTATTCAAATCGACATGTAACACTCAATGAGCGATTTTCAATCATTGGTGAGTTACAAATTGCATGCAAACGGTCCCTTGTTGCCTATAACTTCTTTTGTTACCTATTCAGAGCGCGGTTACTACCTTAAGCCCAAAGAGCTGGCCACCGCCTCGAGACCACCACGAGTTTACGTTGTACCGGTAAGCGCCACATCTTCAAAGGATATCATGACGGCCTGTCTAGCAAAAATGGAAAGGAGACACCTCGATGCACAACGTAAACAAGCCAAGGTAAGATCTCACTGCTTAAATCTCCGTTTTCATTCTTGTTTCTCGTTAGACAGAATATTCTCTGAGAAAATCCCATACTATTATTATTGAGCAATGTCTCTTGGTGCTTTTTACGGTTTTATACTTCGAAAAGACAAAGAGAGGTGCTGGGTAGAATGGTTATGGATTCAAACTCTTATAAGTAGTACTACTTCCCAAATGGCTTTTTATCTGGTACCACTGGTACCACTATTCAACTCACAAATGAAACGCATCTCTGCGACGCTTTTCATTGCTATTTTGGGTTGTTTTAGAGCTTCCAAAGAGATACATTATGGCATTTTACCTAATATTTCCGAATCACTTAGGCAATTAAATCATGCGAGTCATCCACGCACATTTTTAGCCTTTTTTTGATCAAATGAAACGTTCTCCTAGTTGGCGCTCAATTTCACTGACACTTCATACATGTTTCTTACACTATAGATCCCCTTTTTCACCATGAATACAAACAATGAGCAGATAATGATGTATGCTGGGAAAGATGTAACTGATAAAAGTGGCGTTTCAGAGCCAGCAATCGTCTCCATGTACAAGCCCCCCGAAATCGATGAGTTCCGAGTCTGCATGAACTCAATCAATCGCTGATCGCATCTTACATTTTCACTTTGTACTCATTCTATTTATTGCCCTTACTATACACTTGTGAAATCCAAGTTCATAGGATTTGAATCAAGCCGTCCTCCAGTTCCTACTGTTACGGGCCTTTTTCGCTCCATTGTTTTACCACAACATCGGTTTTTGTACATTATGACATGCTCAGTAAAGTTTCAGTTTGATTTCTTGACTAAATTCTTCGATACTGATGCAAAAATAAGTCTCGTGCCCAACTTAACGGTATAGCTCGGACATTGCACACCTTCCACTTAGTTTCGTGGTGCTGTATGGATGTCAATAGGTTAAACAACTATTGCCTTCCGCGCACAAACAACCTCAAGCTTCAGAATGAGCGTTTGACCAAAACGCAGTACAGGGGTAGCAGCCCCTCAAACATTCGTCGTGACCTTTGCTTCGTTAATTTTCCACCTTTCACAATCTTATTGAAGAAGCTTCATCATATCAAGTGCTTTGTTGAGGATGAATTGGATGGCTCAATCGAAGGGATGCTGAACTCCACGAGTTGAGAACAACTGACAGAAACGTGTGATCGATTAGGCGCTTTTTATCGCTCATCTCATTAAAAATTAAAGGCGTTTCACGTGTGAATATAATTCCCCACCAGACATATGCAAAAGCATTCATAGATTATTCCTGACGTTAAGGCTCACTGTATGCTAATTATCATAAATATTGAACCCGTGTAACACCCCAAATCACAAAACAACACGACAACAATTGATTGAACTTTTACGTGAGAACAATAAGAAGCCAAGAGAAATCCACAAACCCACTCAAAATCAACTTTTATGCACGATTTGATTCTCGAGGCATCCATAACACTTTCAAATGAGCGTCCTGCTAATACCACCTAATGTGCTTTCTTGAGGCGATGAAAATTATGTTCAACTTTATTTCACTTTCACCGACAACTACTATGATCCTTCGGCTGTGTTAGCCACTTCCCAGATTCAAAAAAAAAAAACTTCCGAGAACAGTGTGCTGTCACCACCACCATGAACCACGACTTCATCAGGTAAACGTACCACGGCGTTATAGAATGAACGGATTCTTGTTTGCGGCCGCGATTGGCTTCTTGACAGAGCGCAAAGTCGTGAAAACACCGAGACTTTTGCCGAACTTCTTACCGTACCACACTAAAACAGAATAGTGGTAGTAGTGGTGGTGACACACTGCATATTGGAGTAGAAAAAAAACTATAAAAAAGAAAATTTTATTTCGAAAGTTCTGAGTGATCACCGAAATGTTACCGGTTGAGCAGGAAAACAACAAGAAAATAGGAAAATGAAAGTCTAAATGACCGAATGCTAGAAGTAAATGCTATGCAATACCCAGAAATAAGAAATTATACCAGCAAGCCATAAGTATCTCCCATAATAAGCCAACCCCCTACTCATTTCAATTATGACTACAATGATCATTTGGAAACACCAAGGCTTCATCACATGAAATGGCAAATATGTCCATGAAGATTTCCTAACGTAATTAGGAAAGATATGTGTAAAAAATAAGGTCAAAGTAACAGAGGAATCATTGAAAACGACTAATACGAAGGCAGCGATTCTTCCCACCTAAGAGCTCGTCCTTGATTTTTATTGGTCGGATTACTCGGTAATATACACCACCGCAATACTGGAACGCTAGCAGGTTTTGTTCCTTGTCGTCTGCAAATATATACATGACTCTACTTTTTGAAAAAAAAAGTTTTAGAAACGATAATTATTTCAACCATTAAAAAAATCTCCGATTCCTCTCCATTAACTGCCACAAATTCCGCTCCTTTTCAGAACTTGGTTGCTCCGAAGTGTTGATTTTATCTCGGAACAGATTTATGATTTTATGATTTATAAATGTTCGGATGTTCGGTTTTCTGTTTCTGGCCGGTTGCTTGAATCTTTGTGTTTACACTACGTTAACAAGTGTTTCACATGTCTTTCAATAAATAAAGAAATTAGCTTCTAAAGACTTTCTATGCTTTTTATAATCCAAATCTCAAAACGTCCTTCTCTCTATGAGAAAATTAACAAACGAAATACCAGTCGAACAGCGATTAAGCGATAAAAATCTGACTCTGACAGAGTTCGATGTAGGGCTCGATACGTGGGTCACACAAAGGCCAAACGGTGGCGACCAGTTGTTTGTTACTTGCTACTTCTCAACCACCTTCGAAGGTTCGGGACCAAATGGGACGGTTTCGGTTCAGTTCACTCAGCTATCTATTCTACATGCCATTAAGCCGTGTCTGGATCTAGAGAAATGTAATGAAAAAGGAAATAAAGAAAAAGTCTGGGGATAGTATGCAAGATCTTCATGAATGTTGATGAGTACATCTTTAATGAAGAAACTATGAAGCATTATAGCGGCATATGAGGAAACATTGAAGGACCTTTGGAACCTTCCCAACTCGGACACTGTCTGACTCCCCAATCTGCCACATAAGGATCAGAGGTATTCTGTGGTGAAAAGGAACCCATGGAATGTACGAAACCTCACAATAAGTACACTTTCCTTTCCTCGTGAGTTTGCCGAAGTTGACTATGATTTTTTTGCCTTTTTAGAATCAGGGAACATAACTCGTTCGAGAAAGAGAAACAGGTTCTTTCTTGAGCATAGATGAACTAAAAAATCATGGAAGGATTCCAAAAAGTATAGTTTCAGCGTTTTAGATCGTTTTTTAACGCTTATTTGCTTTTCTTTGATGACACCTTTTCACAACTTTTACTACATACCCATGTAATCTGGAAAAAAAAACTTCTTAGCCTACCATAAGCAATAACGGAACTCACGCCGGGAACTGTTGATATACCGCATCCAATTTGAATATTGCGTATTACTACCATCAATAAAATGCGGGCCAGTGTGACTTCTGAAAAACATAGCAACAATATGAAATAATGAGTAAGTAAGTAGAACAAAAACGTTCCAAAACCAACAACCATTACCGAAGCTCCCAACAGTATCCGTCTTTCTCCGCTTCAGAAGCGTCGTCTATGAGTATGCCTTGGTACGGACCGAACACCATCCCAACCTAAAGTACAGTCAATAGATTGAAAGGTTATACTTTGAAAAGAGAACAGCAACAGGAACACCAGGATAGAGAACGCTCCTGGATGGGAACGACCCACCGGAATGCAGGCCTCAGCGAATGCTCCTAATCCTGCATTAGGTATTGACGAGGTTTTTATACTGATGAAAGCAGGTGCAGTCATTCGGGCACGATCTTCCGGCTTCGAATTCTTACTCTGAAATAAAAAGTAAACTACTCGAATAAACAAAAGAGTTTGTGCGCCACTTTCGAAGCGCTTAATGAGAAGTAGAATCTAACCGACGGCCTTGGCAACTGACCGGCTCACGATCTTTCACCCAAAAAAGGGGATGCTCCTTACATGAAGCACGATAGTAACAATTACATCGGTCACAATCTGAAATCAATCAGGTGGAGCACATTCGTATGAAAACGTTGGTGCAGAGAGCTAAACCATTGCACGTCATGAAAATGGCGAGTAGACTTACGAATGAAGTCATCACCATCGGGATCAACATCGGTCTCCTTTAAAGCATTCCCGAAAAGAACTATTTCTTCATCTACAAAAACGAAAGTAAAAATTAGAGAGTATAGAGAGGAGAAAAACCAGAAATAAATGTACTCTACATGTTGAACATTGAATTGAAGAAAAAAATATGTAGATGAAATGACTAAAGCATTTCAGCAAAGCGGGTGAGAGGGAAGTAAAAAAATGAAAATTTTGGACCCAGTAGTGCCCAAAATGAGGCCTTTAATTTTTTATGGCGGTTATCTGTGTCAATAATCTCGACTGTGACCAAATCTGAGTGACCTAAAGAATTCATTGGAATCCTATTATATCAGTGAAAATTCCCCTACATAAAAAGTGACACTCGGCCTTTACATCCCCTTTCACAATGTGTGTTCTACCTGTTCGAATCCCTAAAAACCTCACTTTTGCAGAACTCAAGCAAGATTTGGTATCTCGAGTTCTTGATGGAGCCACAAGTAATGCGAAAGCATCAGAACAAAAAAAGAAAGAAATGAAAATAAGAGCGGCGTGGTAATAGATATTTCCTTCATGAAGAGATTAGACCTAATAAAAGACTAGTTTGCATAGTCGTTAAATCCAGTTTATTTAGAAGTTCATGTAGATTTACCGATGTGCACAAAACTTCTGAGAGAACTACCACCACTACTAGCAGATTAGTTAGAGAGGAATATCATGGGAAAGTCCTCGTAATCATATAATTTAGAGTTCCTACGCTCATTTATTTCTTGGACTAGTGTCCAGCGCACAAATACAGGATTCGATAGTGAGCCAAAACATTGGAAAAAGAAAAGATGAAAAAGAAAAATCAATCATAATTACCATTATGAATAAAAACTAACTGCTCAATTCATGCACGGCTAGATACTTATCGGCTAATGGCGTTCCTTTCGGTTGTTGGACGATTTTCATCGCGATGCTGTAGCAATCGATACACATATGACTTTCCTGTAAGCATAAACCCTACAATGTTAACCACGAAATCGTCTTCCAAATAAATGAACTCAATTGTTTATAGTTATCACATTCTAACAATTCAAACTCAAGTAATCACAATCATTTTGATTTTACAGGAAAGTCTTTACATAAAGGGCACACAGGGTTGAATTAATCATAATAATTTATCATTTACAGCTAAGCATAAACCCATTGATGTCAAGTAATGTGGAAATCCTTTTAAGGGCAGTAGTATGTACACAATATATTGGAGGTGTAGAGGATGCCTGCGATTAAATGTTTCGGGCCAGATTTGAAAGGAAAAGGAAGGGAAAGTGGAAAACAGGATGTTATTCCAGAGGCAGTTATTCTCGATGGATTAGGCAGCTTATATATTACTAGAAAACAACAAATGTATAAGGTGGTGCGCGAAATAAACTGAAGCGCACAACCGCTTCTCCTTTGTCTTTTAGGCTAGACTATCGAAATTTTTTATCAGAACATTTTTTCCCTATTGACTTATTGAACTTTACTCAATAGTGGGTGATAGTAGGAAAATGTATGGGCCTGGGTCGATGTGATCCAATCAACACGGTAGCAAAAGCGATTTTCAGTGAGCCACGAGAGCAGAGAGGAAGAAGATCTTACTATCGACCATTTCTTCAAATAAATGAACCTTTTGTCACTAGGCATAGTAACACATTTTTCATCGGAAAACCACTACTGGGAATCATACTGTAACATAGGAATGATTATGTAGGATTAAAAACGCTTCCCATACTAAATTATTATCAACAACTACTCAAAAAATAGCGGAAGGTATACGAACAAGAACTGATGCCCAAACCCACACCAAAGGACCATGAATATGAATATACAAATCTATTTCATATATTGAACGAATGTCTGTCTGCTAGAGCCCAAATGTTTAGCCTGAACTCTTCCACTTCTTCAGCGTTTTTCCACTAAGGAGTGGTGTCTGTTTTTCTCGTGACATCACTTTTCTCGGTTGATTGCTTGGTCGGGTCGAAGGCCAACGAATTTCAAGTCCTTTTTCAAGGTATCAGAAAAGGGTTGCTTCGAACGCCCCTTAGCAGCTTTCCGGATTGATCGAGACTGATGCCGACCACAAGCACTGTTTTTGTACGCGCGTTGGACATGGCGGTACCATCCAAAGCGAGCTTCGCTGGTTTTATCAGCAATGGGGGTACTCCAAAACGCTTCTTTATTGCATTGTTGCGAATACAGTCTGAGTGCGTGACCCCAGACATCCATCGTAGCATTTATGTTTTCATTACTCCAAGGCGTGCTTCAATTTCTTTAGTAACAGCCAGCGTCCTGCATCATAAGTCGCAACTGGTTGTACGACGGTTCTTTAGATTTCCGATTTAAGGCGATATGGAATTCCCCCGTTGCAAGGACACCACCAAATGTTTAGCCTAATTCCAGGCCTAGAAATGAATCCTATCACTATGGTAGCAACTTTTCTTTTGCGTTTCGAGTCTACCAGTTGAGTCAAGTGAGTCAGGAAGTTTCAGTGTATCTTATTCAATCCTTTCGCCATGAGCAGCGCTTAAGATCTATCCTACTGCACATAAAATGCAAAGACAGGAAATCACATTCCCTTCGCGGTGGACCAGGAACGTTCAACTTCCGAAGGATTGAAGCCGATGGCGTACGAACACAGACGATAGATGACAGGGACTGATAACAAATGATAAGGGACCATAGGAAGCATAGACCGTTAGGTGTGCTATGGCCCTTGTGTTTATACTGTAACCTTGGCACTTTGTTAAGTAATGTGGGATACAACGTGATCATAGATGTTCAGCGATGTTAGATGGCTGTATCTTGGAAGAGCTGACAATAAAGCAAGGGCCGCGGAGAACGCTAAGCCATCTTTACTTAGATTAACCAGTCGAGGCTACATAATAAAAGGCGAAATCGTCAAGCAATACTCCACCCATTGGCAATACAACCACACAATCGCCAAAATGTGCTGTGCCAAGGGGTTTGAATTGCATAAGCTGCTTTACATGTTCATATATGGGTTAAAACTTCATGGGAAGGATATAGGGCATGTTTAGTTTGTTGTATTCTATGTAAATTACATTTTGCCAAAAAGCTAGGCTCTCGAAAATTGCCTGCATGACAGCTGTAAATAACGATTATGGCCCAAACACATTTGACTCGAGCAGCTGGCTTTGCGATCAAACGAATTCTCGATTATCACTGAACAGAATAGAAAACGGTAGATTCAACACTGACCAAGGGATCCTCTTCAGGTTCCGGTGAACTTTCATCGCTTCCATAGTCCAAACCAGGTATTTGAAATGTTGTCATCAAAAGAGGTTAAACCTTAATTCAAAGTTTGAAGAAGTTAAATGTTAAGAAGTGTTTGAATAAGGAAAGTTCGTTTCAAAAACATTCAAAAAAACAACAAAAAAGAAAACAATGAAGGAGAATCGGATTAAAAGCGCTGGAGTACCGTAAAACTAACGGTTGCTTCTGCAGTTGCGGGCAACACACAAATCTCACAGCTATTTCGATTGCGGAAGACACATATCAAAACGCGCCAAATTCTTGATTAGACTATGGACTGCCTCTACTGCGAAGCATTCACTGGAAGGTTCTCTATACTTTCAGGGATTGCAGCCGGTAATTCTTACCGGAAGCGTCCTTTTTATATAGTGGAAAATGATGGAAATATAGTCGGAGGGGACCACCCAGGATGCTAGAGCCAAAGAATGGGGAGGCACCACTTTGGGCATACAGCAGGACTTTGAAAAGACTCAAAGCCAGGGCGATGAAGAACGGAAGAACACCACGGTGATCGGGGTGGTAACATAATGTAAAAAAAANAAAAAAAATTGGAATGGAAGATGAATTGACCAGTAGGATACTCTCCCCGAGAGGGCGCAGACAAGCATACGAAAACGAGTGTCACCTTCGGTCACATTCTTATCGATTTTTTAAAATGAATTAATACTTTGTAAAAACGGTGATTGGAATTTTTTCATTTCTGCGAATTCATTTTTGGTGGAATGATGACCATTCTGAAACATTTTGATATGTTACAGACGGAATTTATGAGTGATCCTCTCCGTTGGTGAACACCTTGCTACAGACTTGTCGCGAAGTCATTCCGCTGGATTCAGAGGGCATACAAGCCATTTTATTCCATAGTTCAACCAAGGACCGTACGAATGGGAAAAAAGAAATGAAGTGAATCAAACGAGTATATCACAACATTCGAAAAATGGAGTCGGAAAGATAAGAAACTGATCGACGAACAATGCCGCTCTCAATATTTTGAGACATTAATTTGCCACATTTATTGCACGGTACGGCTTAATCAGAAAATCTATTTCAGAATTGTTAAAACTATGAAAACGAAGTCAGTGACATTCAACGAGTGCAGGGCACCAACAAAAACCTATAATACTGAAAAAAATTAGGAAAACTCAGCAAGCAGATCTCCAGAGGGTGGCGAGCACCCAAGTGGCTGACTTGATTGAAACTCTGATGTCATTTAGAGGGCGCACATCCAAAGGCTCTGGGAATTACGCCCGGCATTCGTCATGCGCATCGTGGGGGCGAATAAGAATGTAAGAGAGCTTAAGAGCTGAACAGGGCCAGTCTATATTCGATACAGCCACTTTCAGCGATAAAAGTGAAGCAGTTGTAGAATGATATGTCTAGGTAGAATATGAATAGTAAAGAATGCGATTGGTGGGTATTTGAAGACGAACTGACACATTTACTTACTTCACCTTGATGACTCTTCCATGCTACAGATGGAAGTGAAATAAAATTGGACAGATAGGGCATACCCACTGCTGTCTCCATGAAAAATCAAAAAAAAAAATCGAAATTCAGAGCTCAGACCGTTCTTGAATTTCGAAGACTACGTTGCCGGCAACAAAACTTGCATTTTATTTTAGCGACCACAGGTTGCTACTGCCCACTAACTCCTTTCTAACAACTTTTTAGATATTTCCGAGCTTCTTGGGTGTGGAGATGGTACAGTGGTTAGAAGTGCAGTTAACCTCTAACAAGCACTATGAATTCTCTTCAAGTATAGAACGAGCCAGCCTGCGGTTAACGCTGGTTTCAATACAACTGCTTCCCTCTGTAGGGTAATTATTTGAGCCAAAAAGTTTACAAAGACCGCCACAAATTTCGATTGAAGGAGGTTGTGAGGTGTGATTGATGTCCCACTCGAAGTAATCGCATTGCCATTACAACGATAACTTCCTGCCATACTTATTGTCTTTAGCAAATGCCCGAGGACCAGACTACGAAGGAGCTTTCCGTGGGAATCAAGTCCAATCTTCTAACAGGTACTTCGTCGCCCCTGGGCCAAAAACCGATGAAACACCGTACACTCTGTGTTGAGACCACCTCTGGGTGGATTACTAAATAAGGAAAGCTACAAGAGCAGACCTGCATTGGAAGTTTCATGACAAAGGCTGGCCTAAAACTCAATTGCATTACAACGTTACTCGAAAGTTCCTAATCACTTGTGGCCTTCGCAACTTTTCATTTATGGCTTCTATTCGATATAGTGACCAAAAAGTGCCAGAAGATTGATATTACACTTCGGGGGAGCCTCACTTATCTACCAGAGATTGCTTGCCGACCCGCTCCTTTGCAAACGAAGTTCAAGATACAACTGCGGCAATAAACTTTTGGAGAATAGTATGAGTAATATTTGAGCAAACATGATTGCATTGGGTGCACGCACCACGTACGCGCCGCATGTTTGTAAAGGATGTGGACCACATGTATGATGGACGAATCCAAAAGGATCGGAATCAAAAAGTGTTGGAAGTAATATTTTGTTCAAAAATTTATGTTTATGGCTATCTACCGTCCTTAAAAGTAAGAAGATGGGGCATGCTGAAAAGCGGGTATAACAAGTAATTTCTTTTAGAAAATGTTTTTTGGAGGGAATTTCGTTTCCAACCAGATGGTGACCAAACGTAGATCCTGAAAAATGAATAACTTCTAAAAATCGACGACGTCAGCGGTATTCGTTAATTGGAACCATGAAGCTTGTGCGTACGCAGATTTTTAATACAAATAGCAAGCCTAGTTACTAGGGCTATCAAATAGCATGTGAAACAAGCCAACATTAAGTTGTTTCAGCCTTATGCACGGTTCTATTGGTAACCGAATGCATAGGCATGCTGTGCTCGCTCCGGGAGCACCGGATTCTTCCCTGAGTGGCAGCAGCGTGTCTGTCATCTGTGCCACCGTCCGCTGATAATGGTTTTAAGAGTAAAAAAAATTGGCTTCGGTTCCGGAAGGCTATGGCTGGTGAATGGGAAGTAGGGCGGGTTCGAACCCTTCGCCCCTAGATCCTCCTTTCCCGTGCCTGGAATATCCGTCGAAGGTGAACTCCAAAAAAACGTATACCTCAAAAGGCGAATGATGTCATCACCGTTAAATCCGGTTACCTAACGGCAACACAAATTACCTGATCTAGTCGATACCTAGCCAGACCATCGACGGAGACCGACAGACGGGGCCGTCACGTGCTGCCGGTTGTGGCCTCGTGGTCGTCCACATTACAACATTTTCGACGCTCGAACTCATGACTCAGACCAGCCTACAAACTACTTTTTTATGAACTTTTCTAATTTATTTCATTAAATCATAGAGTAACTGTATTTCTTCGGAGGAACGACGTAAAAAAATTCACAAAAGTTAGCAGACGATTTTCCTAAATTTCTGGGGGATTTTGTCAAACTTGGGGGCCTTGGCTATAGCAATAGTATTCTACCGCCTCCGAGCTTTGCCTAAAATCTACTAGGTTACTGATTTAATTTGATTTATTAATTTAACTTTACATTTACTGAGTGAAAAGCAGGCAAATCTGATCATCTCCCTGGATACTTTCTCAGGAAGCTTTGGTTTGATTCGTTTCCGCTTTCACCTTCCATAGATTACAAATTGAGCGAAGGTTAGTAAGGGTCTCCGATCGATTCTTAAAGCGATAAAGATCACAGTGAAGGAACTATTTTAGGAATTACTTCCGTTCAAAACATTCACCCGGTTAATAACAAAACATGGTAATAAGCCAAAAATAACTTTTATTTATGACTCAGCCTTTTTCAATCAAATCGTTGAACTACGCACCACTCTCCTTTAGGTATTTTTAATCCCAAGTGTTTCCCAGTTCTAGCTTAACTACCCCAGATGGCTCGAGGCTTTTTACCGAGCGTGCGAAACAGTTCACAATTGAATAAACTGATATGGTTTTGTACTTCTGCATGTACTGATATGAACTTCGTTATTTTCAATGATCTAGCCTCAATGTACAAATGAACCGTTTCGGGTTTGTGAGTGAAAATTGAAAGCACGGCGTAATCTCTGGAGGTTGATAAACTCATGTTTCATGTGTCTCTCACCGACTTTTAGTCACTCCGCTAGATAAGTGCGGAAAGAATCTGGGCAAAAACATCAGAACTACCTTCGGCCTTTTGTAGTTCTGGGGACTTTCAGATTCCGCGCAAGTCCTAATCCAATTGTCCCATTGATTCTCCTATACTTGGTAGGAAATCAATCCAGTAGGCACTCGATGCATGGCGCATCCCTGTGACTTGGGCATCCTTCCTGGAATCCTTGGAATATGCACTTGTGCATTCGCGACGCTCCTTTTGCGATCCGTTGCTGCTGTTATCAGCGATGCGCTTTTCGACCAACGTTATTGATCGTTACCAAAGAAGAACAGGAGGGGGGGGGGGGGGG